CATTATAGATTCTTGTTGGAGAAAAATATAAAAAGGTTGAAAAGAAATATATAATTGCTATAATTATAATCAAACTACACTGATTGTAAGACAAAAAATAATCGAAATATTTACATGTAAATATTACATATAATATTTTCTTCGACATTTATTGGTTATATATAAATTTTGATTGTATGAAGACTTATAATTCTACGTTTCTCTGTGAAGTATACATTTTTGTGAAATATATTAGCTGTAAATCTCTATCCTTTGTGTGCCTTATTAATTACAAAGGATAAAATAGATAGTTTATTTGCCAAGAATAAAATTTTATTTCTCCGTATTTAAATAAAAATTTATTTTAGTTAAATAAATATCATACCTCACAAATAAATTTTTAAGTATTTTTTTCTCACAATCAGTGTAATGAGAGTTATTGTACTTTACTGCAAATGCACAAATCGCTTCCTTACTATTTGCTATCTATATTTGCAACTTGAACGATAGCACTCGACCCTCGAACTTTTTTTCGCTTTTCTCGCAGTTTCCCCAGTTCGTGAATTTTCGTTATTCATTGCCCGAGTACGGAGATCCTGTGGCGCGTCCGACATGATATGGGAGGATCGCATCTTGTTTGCGAAGGACCGCACCGTACTTGTCGCTAAAAAAAAGGTATAGTGCTCTTGGTAACAACGATACCGAGATTGGCACGATTCCACCGATCGATCGAAACCTCGCGTCATTATGCGAAACGTTATGGCGCAGTAAGATAATTTAATTAATTTTATTATTATTATATTCACTATTATTGTATTTATCATTATGAATTACCTATATTACTATTGTGGTCTACTTATTATGTCGTAAACTTATTATGTTTTTTATAGCAAAGGATCTAAGAATCTTAAAATGATAATCTTGAAAGAGATTAGTAATACTAATAATAATCATAATATGTTATATAATATAATTAAATTTTGAATTTGAAAAATACAGAATAAAATTTATATATAATTTTTATATAAAAAAAACCTATTACTTTCAAAGAGTCAAAAAATATAAAAATTTTACAATATTTAAGAATTTTTTAGAGTAAAATCATATTTATCTATTTAAAAAATTTAATAATTTATGATTGAAGAATTTTAAAAACTTTAAGCTTAGAGAAAGAAAATTTCAAAAATAGTTTTACAATTCACGATTAGATTCACTAATTGTTTATAAATATTATATAATTATATATTTTAACTCGTAACTTTTTAACAAAGCAATTTATGAAAGATCTTGTTTCTTAAAAGTTTTCAAAAACGTTTTAATTTCAAATTAGAATTTTAAAATTTAAATTAAAAATAATCTGATTATCGATTTTAAGAGGTTCTTGGTATCTCTGAATTTGAATGTAACCTGGAGATATCGAAAAAAGGATAGTAATCTCTGTGAAGGAGGATTTAGTGTTGCAGAGTTTATAATCAGAGTTTGAAAGTCAGTTTGAAAATCTCTTTCTCAGTATACTAACTGTTTATTTAGTATTATTGAACTTTAAATAAAGCGAAATTGGAAACTTAATGTTACATCACAATTAACGCTTTAAAACCGATTTTTATGATAATTAAATTATATTTTTTTTAAATTCTGTCTACCATGTTAAATCTATTATTTTCAATTTTTTATTTTTGACCTCGGATTTGAATAAGACAATATCAAATTACTCTACAAGCCAAATTTTACAAAAATTGAACAAGCAATATGTACAACAAAAGAGGGTAACTTCAAACGAAGTTTCTATATAGTCCACAAAGGGTTAAAGATTTAATATTAAATATTAAAATTGTTTTCTCTCTCTCTCTCTCTCTCTCTCTCTCTCTCTCTCTCTCTCTTTCTCTCTCTCTTATTCTCAAATAGGAAGAAAATGTCGGAAATCAGCTAATGAACAAGCAATTGATAAAATGGAAACAGAAAAATCAAATAGATAGAGAAAATTAATTAGACATGAACGATGATTCACTGGCGATGAATCGGTGATGAAGATCGTTAAATGATTTGATTTCCGGTTGCTCCGTCATTGACAGTTTTCAATAATTACCACTTGCTAGCGGTTAAATAAAACATGAGCTATGGAACATGCCAACTATTTTCACCGATTATTGCTAGATGTATGCGTGTGTATATATGTGTGTGTGCATGACAAATCAATAATATTTTAATATTACTCTGAATACAGATACCAGCAGCTTTTCTTAGGGTGAAATCGATAAAGATGCCGCGACCCAATTAATCTGTTGCGTGATCGTGTAATTGGCGGGTAAATTTGCAATTTGATCGATTTAGTGATCAAATTACTCTACTTTTCAAAAATTGATCAACTTTATAAATATATTATTTATTCTCCTCTAATGTAGCACAATAGATATTTTTTTGCATTTGATATAATATTCAGCAAAGTTATTTAATGTTGCATAAATCGATTTTAGCTTTAATTAAAATTCAATATCCTTTACAATATTTTCTATGTCAATCATTTAAACTAGTAAAAGAAATTTTTGATACAATTTTATATCGAATTAATTAGGATTTATATTTTATTGAATCCTGGATATATATTATTCTCTATTTCTCCATTAGAAGTTCCTTTCTCAATTGAAAAAAATGAAGCCTTTCTTTATGACTCATATGCTTATTCACCAATCTTTTGCCACTTTCACCTACTCGCTATGAGTGCAATCCACTGCAAATGCTTCGTTGACCAACCAAAAGAAAAAGTTTTACGAATCAATCAGAGAATGCTTTAAAGCATTTGCAGCGTGAATCACACCTTAGGAAAGTCGAGTTGGCAGTTTTAAACAAACAAAATCGTCAATTCCAATGTCGTGTTTAAGTTTCGGGTTATAGACTCGCTCCAATAACTCTATTTGCTAGAAAAGTGTGGCTTAAAAGCCTCTCTATGCCGAGATCCATTAAACGAGGATGTAACGACATCGTTCTCACGAATCGATCCACACGCTCGATTCCGGCGCGAAGTGTAAAGACAGGCAGGGGACAACGCCCGTATACGCTCGCGGAAGCGTTTCGCTCGCCTAATCGAAACCTTCTGAATAAATCAACGACTGAAGAGTGCATCAAACCGCCGCGCGTATAGAGGAAAAGTTGCGCGCTGCCATAAACGCGCGATCAGACCGCGAACTTCGGATAAGAAAGACGCGAATCGCGGCCGATGAATAAGTCAGGCTGACCATAGCCGAGTTGACCGTTGACAACGAACTTTAGCAGGAAATAATGCGCTCGCAAATAACGATCAGCTCTTGATCATGCGACCCGGCCACGTTGCGGTGGGAAAAGTTATGTTGATCACGTGCGGTTGCGAAGAAAATACAGCGCGCGAGAAGAAACTTATACGATTCTATTTATATCATTTCTAAGAGAAATGTGTATTACACGTCTATAAGTTTTAAGTTATGTTAATTTATTTCGGTTGGATCTTATATGATATTTTGTCAAATAACATGTTTACAGTTGTTATTTTAACACGTTAATAGCATTGATTTTGTTGCATTTATACAAATAACGTAGACTATCATACATATTGAAAAAATTTCTGGTTGGAAATGGACGAATTAGAATTTTCTGGTTAAATTTATTAGAATTTTAGTTGAGATAATTCTAGATAGTTGAGATAATTCTGGTTAATACAATATTTCTGGTCTACATCTATTCTTCTAATCTTATCAGAATTCTCATTTTTACCAGAATGATTTTATCAATCAGAATTCTAGCTATTTCTACTAG